ATTTAGTATGCTCACCAAGCAGGAACCGGCCGTCGCGTGGCACCTGCCCTTGCTCGAGTTGGTTTCGGAGCCAGGAAAATTGCCACACGAAGGAGTCGTGCACCGACCCGGGATACCGTGGGTCGATGCACATTATCCGGCAGTCGGCGTCACACACCTGAAAGTAAAAGAGATATTGACACGTAATTACCTGAATCCACAAGTGGTATTTTGTACTTATGGTTCACAAAGCAGTCGCAATTTCAGAACCTTTTAAGTTATTTTGTCTGACACATGCATGTCAACACACCTTCCTGGATGCAAGGTACAACTAACTACCTTGAAACAAAAATAATGTGTTTTTTTTACGGAAGCTTGCACGTTTTAACAGACAAGTATTATTTTTGGGAGGAGAGTCTCACGGCTCACATGCTACGTAGAGCATACGCTCGCGCAGTCGTGAGACCCCACAGCCCGCAGTCATAAAACGGCATACTTAAACCGTATCGGCAATACGTTTTTTTTTCTACAGATTTGGGGCGCGTTTTGACAACGTAACATGAGTGTACTTACCACCATCACGTTGAGGGCGTAGAAGTACTTGCGGCACCAGTACGCCGCCTTCGTGACGGTGGGGTCGTTCTTGGACGGGCCGACGATGGAGACCATGGTCCCGTCCGCGCAACCGATGACGCCGGGTATCCTGCCGAGCAGCCTGAAGCCCTTCTCCGCGTCGAACCTCTCGCTCGGCGTCTCGGGGAAGTGGATCCAGCCACGCTGGACCCCGAGACGACGCACGATAGCGACGGACACGGCGCGGACCGCAACGCTGACTGTCTTTTGGTCCCGCGCTACGTGTTCGTCGCTCGCCACCATGCCTTGGACGCTCCCCGTGCCGTAGAAGCGCAGTGCACACAACACTTGAAGCTCCACAGTCATGACCGTCCACGAGGTACGCACTCTCCTCACCTCCGGTTCCTCGCGAAGTTCGTCGCACAACCACCGCACCACGATCTTGGGCAGGCGGTATTGCTTCCGAAAGATCTCCTCCGGGAGCTCGAATGCATCGCGGTGTTCCCGATACAGCCTTTCGGGCGAAAAAAAAAGCTCTATTAAAGAAAAAGTCGAATTGACGAGACGACGACGCCTCGCCGCCGAAAACATGCTGCCAATGACACCTAGTTCCGAGCAAGTACCTTTTGAAACGTACTCGGTACAAAACGAAACGTCATTTTTTTGTCACGTCCGGTAGCCGACTCCGCCCAGTTTTGCCGACTCCGCCCACATTTTTCTAGGGAAATTACGTCACTTTTGTTTCCAACCAATCAGACGTGATGACGTCACTTCCGTGTACTAAAAAAAGGTACATGTACAATGTCGAACCTAGCTATCCAGTAAAAACGCTTAATTTGAACGCGTTTCTGGTAGGTTTCGGTTTCTGATCGGAGCGCATCTCTGCCGCCCGCGGTCCTGCTCCCCAGTGGCCGAGGCGCGCAACAGGCGTGCGCCATCATGGCCTCCAAGATTTTTGGCGCGCTCTGCTCCGTCTTGTCCAAACGCTTGGCTCTCCAGAAGAAAAAAGCGCGCCGAGTCAGTGTTATAAGAGGAGAGTAAAAGTACAGGCAAGCTGGGGGGTGAATTGCAGACATAACGAAACCTGAGACACCGGGAGAAGAAAAAAGATGGACACGAAAAAGAGGACGACACACACAACGTCTCGAACACAGCAGAAGATTTATTCTAAAGCCATACCCTTTTTTAGGAGCACACTGCAGTCAACCATAAACCGTGGTAGATAATATTATTCTGCGGGAATAATTTCTTTGTTTCCAGGGTTCTTTTTTCCGTTTGAATTTTTCCGCCTTAGCAACAACTCCGACCCTGTATAGTAATTTAGGCAAGACAATAAATTTCCTGCACAATTGCATCAATAAAAAGCGAGCCGATTGAAATCAGAAGACGCAACGTCTCTGTTGGTACTGTCTTGGTTTCTTGAGATATAGGGACAGTAAATACGACGATATACAAATGCAGTTCTCATGATACTCTGACAATTTAACAACGGTATAGCTCAAGTGTAAGTTAAAACATAGCGACCGAATGCGACTCGATAATTGGATGGGGTCGATTACTACTAAAACCCAAATGACTGAAAGTTAAAAATGTGCTAAGCACAGGACGACATTATTTCTTTTTGTTGTGTTTTTGTGTACTGCAAAGCCAGTCACGTGATGCTGTGAACATCGCCTGTGTTTGCCAAGTCGCCTTGCCGTCTCTCGATCCGCTTGTGAAATTAGGAGGTTAGCTCTACTGGAGTCTTTTTTTTTATCTTTTTTATCAGAGAATGAGACGTGGAGGCACAAAACTAATCTGCGTTTCGTATACTATCATGAGCTATATTTAACGAAAAATAAACAATTCGTTCGATTGTCCATGTAAGTCCAGCGTGGCTCCCCTCATTGTACCTATCCTGTTGACGTTATCACACTTCCAGCCACGTACTTCTAAGTTGATAATCCGATTCTAAATACGTTCTTCCGAGAAAAAAAGAAATCTTTAGTTATTCCGGTTGCGAGATGCTTTGCTTCGTGACCACGGCAAGGAAGCGGATTACCGAAATTCATTGTACTTTAGAAGCAACACCCGGAAAAGACCACATAATTCGCTAAGCCTTTCGGCATTTATTCGAAAAGTCCACCCAAAACCCAAACTAGAACTTAGCTTACAGAGATGTGAGCTCAAACTAACACGAATAAAAAAAGAAAACAAATCCACTTTGTTGTATCCAAGCCCAAAAGAACAGACGCTTTTTAGGTCAGCTTCTCCTGGACTGGCACATCGAGTTGCTCAATCGTTTTTTTTCTCCTGTTTTTCAACAAACTGTAAGCAGAAATGTCCGATTGTCGCCACCGACTTCCCGCTTTCGAGTAATCGCACAAGAAGACCCAGGAGCGACGCGACTAGATAATAGCCACCGGGACGTGCAGAAGAGTGGCACAGCTTTTGTATATAAAGGTACTGTGTGATCGTCCAGCCACGAGCCAGTCTCATCTGAAATTCGCCACCATGAAGTTCCTGGTAAGCAAATCCGGCCCAGCCGACTCATTGAAATAGAGAGTGATTCGTTCATCAAAATTATTTTAACATTTGTATTAGCTCACTGCATATCCTCCCTCTCCACTTTACTCGATCAATATGTTCCGCGTGGTATTTGGTCTTGTTAGGCGCTTAAGTGTTCTCGAGTTGTTTCTCACGTTATAGTAGCTCTGCTTTAAACATTGACGAAGGTAATTTCAAGTGCTGTTCTTTTTTTTTTTCTTACTGAGACGTAAAGGCACGACAAATGAAGTGTTTATCTTAAGTTCCCCCAGAATGAAAACTCCAGGGTGGATCTGTTTCATATAAAAAACAACAGCAATAACAACAACAAATATTTACCACTTAAAACGACGAGAGACTGAGCACGGGCAAGTACGTTCCCAAGATATGTGTTCCTGGTGTCTGATGTTTTTTGACGCACAATTCGAATTAGAAAGCTGGGACTTGGCTTCTTGACCCCACACATTTTGTTTTCCGTAATGAAACTCTTTTTCTACAGAAATAAAAACGTAAATTAAGAAATTGACATTCACTAGAGACTCGGTTCTTGTGAACGTTTATCGCGGGTGGAACGCAGGGATAACGATTTAAGTGATGGTTGTTGCGAACGTCTTTGGGAATAACTTTAAGATATATAATTAAACAACTAGAACAAAACAGCTATCAAAATAGATGTTGGGTAATATTTAATTCTAGGACTTGCCGCAGAAATTAAACACGAACGACACCTGAGCTACAATCCCCACGATTCTAGATGGCCATGTAATATTGGATAATACTAAAATTCCAACAGTTTTAGCTTAACATATTCATTCCACCAATGTTCCTGGATATCACGAAAAGAAACGACGCGCTATAGATTTGTTTTTCTACTTTTTTCCAGTGGTCGACTAATGACGGATGCACATACACACAAAGACACACACACACACACTGCTATTTGCTTTGAGGTTGAGGGTGGTAGGCGGACACGCTTACTTAGGCCATTCGTGGTATGATGCGCACGCTATATGCTTTAATAAAAGTTGTGTAATTGTGATCTTAAAGGTGAAAACAAACGGGGTACCGACACTTGTGCGTCGCGGCTCCAAAAACTAAGAAATGAGCCGCCCCATACATGATTCAGTCTCGTTCGTTTTCCTGTGCCCCAGGGCTTTCAGAAAGATGTATCGCGTTTAAATGCAGGTTGACATATTTCTAAATTAATGAAGCCTATTCTTATCAAGACGATAGGCCAGCTTTGCGGGAGGGACACTTAAGTGTACAACTGAAAGTATTTTATTGCCGGAAACGAAAAGGGAAGGCATCCAGGAAAAAGAAAAAAAAAGAAGAAAAAAAAAATAGCAGTGGCAAAAATGGTAGCTTGTTATGATCATATATATGACAAACTTTTTGTGCGCAGGATGCGTGCAAGATTTTGTTTTACGTGGATTTTATGAAATTCGCTAAATTTGGTGGACGGTAGCCATATTACTGGTGTCGGCGTGTTACACTTTTGTGTGTGGCCAAAGTGCAAGCTCAACATCCTGTTCTCCGTCAGAGACATAGCAGTAAACGTTGATTGGTTTCAAGATGCTTCATCAGTGACTCAGGAAAACCAGATTTGATGGAGGCATCATGATCGGACGAAGTGCTGAAGCAGTCGAACCTTGTTAAACGCATAGAGACAATAGGTTATATGATTTGAAACTACGCTGCACTTTTTGCCATGAACAATTGACAAGGCGTGCATGCACGTGATCGTATGCGTGGAATTGTATGAGAAGGAAATGTCATAATCTAACTTGGTATTTACGTTTTTGTTGTCTTCTAGATCGTTGCAGTTCTCATCAGTGCCGTGGTGGCAGCTGTCACAGCTGGTGGTTTGGGTGGCTACGGAGGCGGCTTCGGTGGTGGCTATGGAGGCGGCTTCGGAGGTGGAGGCTACGGAGGCGGCGGCGTAGGCCTGGGGGGAAGTGTTGTCCTTCTGAATGGCGGGGGCGCTGGCTACGGCAAGGCCGTTGCTGGACCAGCCTTCCTGGTCAGAAGCGTTCACCATGTCAACAAGATTAGCAGCGGGGGTGGTATACTGGCTCACACTGGATTGGGCGGCGGCTACGGAGGAGGCTTTGGAGGTGGATTCGGCGGTGGGTACGGCGGTGGTTACGGCGGTGGATACGGCGGTGGATACGGCGGTGGATACGGCGGGGGATACGGCGGTGGCAAACATTGATCGTCATACAAAGAATAAACGGTTAGTTGTGGTTACTTCAGTTACAGTTTCAGCCAATAATACGTTTCTACTGAGAGCTATAGTAATACGAACTGCGTCGGTTTATCACGATGAAATTCGGTAATGATTGCATCCTCTACATGATTTGCATAACGTTAGAAATGTTAGAATGTAATTAAGCCGCCAACTTCTTCTTTCAGCAAAAGACGGAGAACATCATGAAGCTGCGTTTTCATCGGGAGACTGTCCGTATCGGATGGAGTCAAGAAAATTGCAGCTCATCAGGAGAAATGCGTGTATGAAAATAATGTAAATAAACACTACCACCAGTAATGTGTCTTTACGTCTGCTTCAATGATTTTTTGGAATGTCATGCTGAATAATCTGGTTTACCAGCAAATGCGGATACTTATGTGCTGATTATACCGGGGTTGATGGAGGATATGAAATTCTGCTTTTCGGCCCCCATAGAGAAACTACGCATCGCCAAAAGTGGAACTCCGTGAGAATGGGACGCTAGCGGTGGTGATAAAATGCGACAATTGGAGCACAAGACGTTACCTGAAAAAACAACAACACAAAAACATGTAAATGAAAAACAAAATTTATCAATGAGCCGATGTCCACCGAAGCCTAATATTTATCAAACCAGACTTTCAAAGTGTGGGCGCCTGTAGCATTTTCCTAAATAAAAGACAAAGAAAAATTGTCAGCAAAAAATAAAACAATATCGTCTTTATTACTGTCAAGTTTGTTCGCTGAAATAAATGCCACAGGCACACATAATCTGAAATTTCGGTTTGCTGATAATAATAGGCTTAGGTGGACGTCGGTTCATAAAGACATTTCGTTTTTCTTTTGTACCTTTTGATACATAAAGGTAGCATCACTGGTGTACTTGCGTGTTTTCAACCACCCTCGTACGGGAGCAAGGATGGTACTTTCTTGCAGACGGTTTGCCTTGATTGCGCTACGATCTAAGAGGTGAAAGTGGTGGACAGACTGGCTCCAAAGTAATGTTCAGTCATATGGCTGATCGAATTGCCGTCTTGGTGTACAATTAGCGATCATGAAGACCCGTGTCGCAGAGGCCAAGCTTTGGACTTGTGTTCACAGCGCTCGAACTCTACCGACCTGCGGCGTGAAATCTATGAAGAAAAATAGAACAAGAATGTAACCAAATTTGTTTACAAGGACGAAGGAAATGTTATTATCCTGCTAATATTTTACGTTTTTTTCAGTACAGTGGTATTTGGTGGTGGAGGGCAAGTTGAAATAATTGGTAATTTTGTCGATGGCGTTGATTTAGGCCTTAGTTACATCTCACGCATGACTACAATATAAAATTAATAAGACAGAAACAATATACAACGAGTGCACGTTCATCGGTCAAACGTGACTGCCATCTCGTTTTTCACACGTCACCACCAGCGCTTTAACCAATCATTGTGGTATGAGCAGACACCGAACCACTGAAAATTCTCCGTAGCATAACGAAAAAGGACGGCTAACCCTGCTCACCCTCGCACGGCTGGGAGAACTTCCGGTTAGGGCGAAATATGTTTTCACGATTCACGCGATTTCTCATCTCTGTTATTTTTTTTATGCAAAAATTCATTAGTAGAACAAATACAAAATCCTGTTTTTGATTCTATGAACACTGAGGATTAATTGGGGTTACTAGTTAGAAAAGTCGACAAAGTTATATCATGGTTCCTTTAACTAACCTTGAACCGGGAGGATCAAATGAACGTCCCCGAGGCAGCTTGGTGGGGGCCAGAGTGCCTTCATCGTTTGGGATATTCCGAACTCCACGGAAAACGAATTTTTTGGTCAATTTTGCGCGGCGCTTCCAGGGTGTCGAAGTTTTCGAGGCATTTTCTGCATATAAAAGTTTAGGTACCATCACGAAGGTTTCACCCGGCGGAGAACTAAGCCCTGGAAGCAGACACTTCATAAGAAACGTGTTCTTTAGGAACCTTACCCGACGAAGAGAACGGTGCATCATTTCAAAACTACCAAGCTACTTTACTTTCTCGTATACGGCTAAGGTCTCGACTAAATTTAAGATATTGTCACCTTCAACTCTTTGATCATCTGTGAATAATAAGTTCGTCCTATCCAATTATGGCCATTTTTAGACGCAGCATACAGGCTTGTATGGTATGGGCCACTCTTTCTGATGGGCCACGGCTTTCTTGGGTCAAAATAAATATGTTAATGACGATATTTATAATATTGAGAGAAACATCTGCCACCACAAATAATACTGTTGTAAAAAATTAGGCCACCAATAAAATATAGTTGAGGCCAATGCATAATACGATCCCGTGTACTAATTAATATCGGATGAAGATGCAGCAGTAAAAAAGCCGGGCAGACGGATGCCGCGAAGAGGAGGGCCCTACACTTCCCAGCTTCTCTTGTTTGCACCGGAAATGATTTAAGGGCATCACCATGAACACTGAGAGTGGAATTCGTGGAAACTACACATAATGGAGGGACGTGTGATATAGGGCAAATGTGACAGCCGGGCTTCCTTTTTTCGCACATTCTCGCAAAGCTTGCGAAAAAAAAAAAAGAAAAAAGAAGAAAGTAACGCTTTGCACGGAGAGGCAGGACGTCACAATTATAATGGCCGGTATTGTTGAGCCCTCGCCGAGCCAACATCGGCAACCAAGAACTGTCGGAATTAAACTAAATGTGATAGAAACATGCATAAGTAAGAGAATATGGTAAGTAAAAAAAACAAAAAAAAAAAACGAGTAATGAGTAAAACATAATAGGGCTTAGGTGCAGCTCTAGTCATTTATGCCAATATCGAGTTTATCACGACACCCCTCGGAGATAAGTTATTTGAAACTGACTTTCTAGAAAATGTCTGAATGAATAATTGCTCACATACGATATTTCGCAATATCGAGCACAACGCATTGCTCATTATTCTTGAACTAGCGTGGTACTTGTACTAAAGTTATCTCAGATTACTTTGAACATTTAGTAAACAAGTTTTAACACGCATAAAAAAGGTTAATAAGAAACAATCGGCCATTATGACTTGGTCTATTGGGATATAAATTTGTGTCCTAAGTTCATTGTCGAGACTTCCATTAAATTGCTTTGGGCAAGTCGATGTACGCCTTGCGGGCCACAAGTTTTGCAACAAAGATATATTCTTTTATTGATATATGGTACTACGGACAAAATAGCCAGTGGTACATTTTTGACAAAGAAGAATATCTATATTTTTTTTATTGAAACCACATTCAGTTTAGGAATGCATATCTGTCTCTTTAGAGAATCACGACAGGACCGATTAAGGTTTACAGCAAATATCCCTTCAGTTTAGTTCTATCTCGATGGTAGTACATTCTTTCTCATTCTACGGTGTTTTTTCTTTAATCCCTTCATGCTGTTACCCCTTTCTTATTTAAGAAATAGGAATTATAAGCTGCGAGTCCTGGTACCTTTCCCAAATAATTTGGCTTCTTTCCCCAGTGCTCTGCCTAGTTCCTTCAAAGATGTCCCTTTGATATTGGTTTTGTGCCTGCTTATTATTCATGTTTTGTTTGAGAGGGGTTTCTTTATTTTTAATATGATGACCCTAATAGTTTCTGCTCTTTATTGAATCGTCATAATTATTTATTTGTATTTATTTTTATTTTTTATTGCTGAAGTGGTCACACTACGAAAGCTTAGTTACACACAGTTTCTACATATTGCACACAAAATTGTCGTTGTCTCCAGTTCAGACACTTTTTTGCGAATAAAAAATATTTTTGCAGCTTACAGTGACGAGTAGTCCCTCATTTAATGCCCGCCGAGCCTGATAAAACCACGGTGAAGAGGGTACTCGGGTACCTCTCACCCTATTTAAACAAATATATTGAAATTACAATAAAACACCCTGTATATTTTGAATGCTTCGTTGCGCCGCATTCGGCGATTGGGGATCCTGGCACGTCGGTGTCACAGAGCTACCTTTTTTTTTTTTTTTACATCTTTTTTCGCCCGCCCTCTAGCCGCCTCGGTGGCTCCGAGGCGAGAGCGTCGGCCTACGGATCCCCATGTGGCGGGTTCGAATCCCGGCCGAGGTGCCCGCAATCTGACGGAGGCTTATTGCGGAGAAGACGCCGTGTAACTGAGCTTTCGGTTGCACGTCAAAAGATCCCCAGGTGGTCCAAATTAATCCTCAGTCCTCCGCTGGGGCGTGCCAGATGCCCGTCCTTGGTTTGGCACGTAAAACCCCCAAATTTGACGCCCGCCCTCTAGCCGTTGTCGCCGCTTTATTTATTTATGTTGATTATTTCCTGTATTTTTTTTTTTTTCGATAGTTCTATATCTACCTTTATTGTACCCGTCATCTTTTCATGCCTATCTAGTGTTTTTGGTGCCCCAGATATGCAAGTAAGAGTGAATATCACCTCTTTTTTAGAATGCGACAGACGATTAGTAACGTATATGCGTCAAGAACTAGCCATTCGTCATTTCATTGCATCGTCAACGTCTGCAACAGGGAAAAGCTTCTTAAAAAAATGCTTTCTCGCGACTGCAGAAAAATACGCGCGTAAAAAAAAAAAATAGGTTGGTGATTGCACATGAGAATAACCATTTCACGCAATCGTCACTGATTTTGACAGCAGTCTGCTGGCCGGTGCAAGTCGCTTCCGAAAGGATTAAGCACTGTAGAAAAGGAACATGCACCCCCCGGCAAGCCGCCTGTTGCATGGTCTGCGTTTAACGTGAATCATTCTTTGACAACGAGTTTAAGACAAATATAAAACACAAAAAGGCATGAAACAGCCGAGAAGCGGATTTTAAATTCCGTTGAATAAACGTTCAATCAACGCAACGTCAAAAAAAAAAAAAAAAAAAAAAAGAAAAAAGAAGGAAGCTCTAGCATTAAAAAAAACTATCAATTTTATAATGCACGCGACTAGAGAGGAACACAAGCCAATCTATGGCAGCGGCGCCCCGCCGCTGTCATAGATTGGCTTGTTTTCCTCTCTAGTCGCGTCTAATCAGGAGACGCGGTGAAGTATTCTTGGGTGAGTTAAACAGTGTAATAATAATAATAACCTTTATTTGGACTTCTTAAGTCACGGGTGAGTGGGCAAAAGGTAAACAGACTTTACCTGACATATCATCCTGCCAATTCCCCCCCCCCCCCCCCCCCCCCCTCCCTCCCCCGAGAAAGAAAAAAAGCTAAAGGAGTGGAGGTGATTTCACATCAAGATATAATACATCAAAGAGCATCTAAAAGTTCACCGAGTATTTTACCACCGTTACAATTCGTTTGCTAGGTGATATCCTACCACATCAAAATGATGTTATATATATACGCCATGTCCTGATGAAGGGCGGACCCGCTCGGAACGTCGTCCAATAAACATATGAGTACACCTTAGGCAATCCCCTTTTGAGCTGTATAAATAAATAAATAAATAAATAAATAAATATATATATATATATATATATATATATATATATATATATATATATATATATATATATATATATATATATATATATATATAACAAAACAAATTACGGAGGTTTGAAATTTGGTTGTGACTATTTTTGAAAATTAAGTTCTGCCATTACACACGAACTTAATTTCACTCAGTGCTAGTTTAGACGAAAGTAAGTGTACATTTAACAAATAAACGTCTATATTATATACTTCGTCCCACCTTAGCATGGACTAACCGTGAAGGCTGTACAAGCACGAGCCGCTAGCCTCGACTGCCTCGACTCGAGCACTTGCTGCGCAATCGCTCGTATAGCTGCCGAAGGCTTCATCCAAACATAGCCTCCTATAAACTGACAAAGCCTGGCAGATCGCCACGAGAAGCGGCTGCCGAAACGGAAAGGGTGGAGCGGCAGACAACGGATGAGCGAAGAGCCACGTGACTGGCGCCCCGCTACGGCGAGACACCGAAACACACTTCTCTCGAGCGAACAATTGTACTTCGGGTCGTCGCCGCTGCAAAGGCTGTGCGTTGACGTCCAGGTTCCCCGAGAAATGGCTCTTTGATGCTCTGTGCTACCATATCCTCGAGCTCCAAATCTGCGAACGGGCACTCTATGGCTCAGTCGTCGAACTGCCAGGCATTGTGTGCATTGACGACGTGAGCGATCGAAAGCGTCGCTGTGGTCGGCCTGCCATGATTCGCGGAATGCTGACAATGACGCCAGCAAAGGATTTCTCATCGACGGATATAAGAGGAATGTAAGAACTTCAGTTTTGACGGTGTTGGCAGTGTTGCTTTGAGAGCGCTATGATTTCAGGCTTCCACCATGCCCATTACAAACACCATCGAACTTGTTGTTCACAAGATAATGACGTCACGAAAGGTAACCGAACGAGGGCGCCACCAAAACATCTCGCCGCTAATAGAGGGGGCTATGATTCAAAGCTACAAGCTTGCGCTTTTAGCACGCGCGGCTAGCAATAGTTCATGCTAAGGTGACACGAAGTATGGTCGATGACAAGGTGAGACAGGCAGGGAGGAGCTGTCCCGCCTCCAGCGCGAACTTCCTATACATTCGACAACGCCTCGGCGTCTCGTTCACATCGAGCGCACGCGCGCAGCCAATGCAAAGCGGAAGGCATAGAGCGCGTGCTGGGTGCCGGTCATGCGAAAGACACGCCCTGCTGTCCTCCCTTCCTCAGTGACCATGTTGTTTAGCGAGCCACAAATTTGTCTTCTAGAAACATGCTCCATTTTTACAAATCAGCTCGTCCCAGCCCTGTGCATAAAGTCGCGTTCGTTTAATTTCTCGCACGATGCTTCTAGCTCCACGTCGGGCCACTCCCGGATTGCCCCGACCGCTGGAAGTGCCATAAACACAAACGGACAAATACGTATTTTGTTAATTCCAGGAGTCGAATTCGGGACATCTCTCGTCAGAAGAGAAGTGTTCCGGAAAAGCTTATCTTATCCTCACTGCGGGTAGTTGATCGCCGGGAGAGTTTCTATTTTGACGCGAGATTTCACCGGAAGAATGAAGCGATAAGAGGGAACGTTGGATACATTCGGTGCATTTCAACGTACGCAAAATAGGGGCCGCTTTCCTTAAACGGGCACGTACGCAATAATCTCGTGTTGGCAACGAGCTTCCCTGTTTCCAGTAAAGGCACGAGGATGCGCAGGAAGAGCGCGACGCGATAATGCGATCCGGTACGTGTCCGGCTGTTCCGTGCACCTGGTATATAAAGGCACGGCGATCTCTCCAAAGCCCGAGCCAGTTCGAGCTGAAAATCCGGCAGCCATGAAGGTCCTGGTAAGCCATCTCTCTTGAGTCGTCCACCTGGTGACACTTGGGTGATTTTCATTCATTTTAACGTCGTTTCAGCAGAGGGGCCCAGCTTTTTCCACTCAAAGCCGCCGAGGATCATTGAGCAAAAGCCTGGCTAAGATGTTTGGTTTCTGACCTCCGTTGACAAATGAGTCGCGCTGAATGATCGCACACCGAACATGATAAACATGACGACTGGCCAAAGAGTTTCGAAAGATAGGGGCGTAGCAAAACGTTTCGTCTCCAGAACTGGCCAAAGAGGAAAACTAAAAATAAATTGAGACACAAGTAAAAAAATAAATGTCATAAATGATTTGTAACTTGATAGAAGGGAGATGACATTGCCGTTGATTCCCAGCAAAAATTTCGCGATTATTCTTCCCAAATTCAAAGGCAATTTGAAATTGCCGCATAATTAAAGTTGACTAAATAAGGTGCTTAGTTGATATATGCCGACTCCCCAGTCTTGAAAAAAAAAGAAAAGAAAAAAAGACATTCAATTTTAACATTGAAGTATGGTATGTAAAAAATCATGTGGGATTTAGCACCGGAATAGAGCTGGTGCCAGCCCTATGATCCTCTTTAAAAAAAATGGTGGCAAATAAATAGTTCACAAAAGATCCTCTTATGAAGCGCAGGTTTCACAAATAATATAATTACATCGGTACAAAGGATGTCTTTGAAAATACCGACCACTCTATTTGAGCAGGCCACTTGAGCTCACGCTAAAACGATGTGAACTGTTGTCAAATATGCATTTGCTATTCTCATAACGAAAGATTGGCGTAGCGTCTTCACACAAATAGAACTGTGTTTAAAGAATTACCAGGGATATATTAAAAACTAGGTTAATAAATACACCTTGATATACATGAGGCAGTCAGCAAGCCCCGGTGAGTCAAACCCCATAAAATCATCTCTAATGAACATCATGAATGATTTAGACCTTAGAATAACACAAACGATGTCCTATCACTGCTGGGAGTGTGGCCAAGACTGTCACTGACGTTAGTGCGGTGAACACAATAGAGCGACGGCTTTTAGAAGTGATCCTTACACATGACCACGTGTTGTGGGCGCGGTGTGTTTTCAAATGGTCTATCAATGAAACTAGTCTATCTGCGTTATTAAAATAGTCTTAGCTCAGGTGTCTGAAAGAATGAAACCTCGAATTGACTATGCCTATATTTGGTTTCAGCTGAGGTCCGAGCGTGGCCGTTGCTATGAGCTGAAGGTCCAATCAAACAGCGCAAAAAGCGCAACTTCATGGCGTTCTTCGCTGTTGATAGGACGAGCCGCCGGAGGAGCAAACAAAGAAAAACGGCGAACACCGCTGGTCCTATCACCTGCGGAGAGCACGCCATGACGATGTGATTTTTTCGCCGTATAGATTGGCACTTCGGTTTATAACGTCGGCCACGCTCAGAACTAAGGTGAAACGAGGTATAGCGCCATTGAGTCAAAACGTTTTATAAAACCGTAGTATGGTGGGCGTCGATTGTTAAATAGTGCCATATTTTTCATCGGCGTTTGGAGAGTATTCGTTCGCGTATGCGGAGGAATACTCTCCCAACCTCCCAACCTCGGGGCTTTGTGAACAACGCCCCAAGAGCTCTGCCCAGGTTAAACCACCGTGATGATCATTCGTGCTCCTCTTAAGGCCAGCCGCGTGATAGGACCCCATGATATTTATGTTTCTACTTGTCGTCAACTATTTCGTACTCCGTTGTCAAAGCTGGTGTAGTTTCGACAGTGTGGCAGTCTCAGAGGACTCTCAGAGCACGTGACTTTATCTTGTGTCTCATTTGCACGCGCTTCCGTGTGAAAGGGGAGCGAAACGGAGCCACGCGCTTGCACGCGCAGCTTCCACAGTGTTTAAGCACTGCGGATGCCACTCTAGCCTCGAGAAACGTAGCACAGAATAGGTGACGCCTAGTATGAACCACAGCAGTTGGTGGCTGCATGTTCACGAATTTTTTGTGACCTTGCAGAACGTCGCACTTTTCGTCGGTGCCATGGCAGCAGCAGTCAATGCTGGAGGCTTGTTTGGGGGTTACGGAGGTGGCTACGGTGGTGGCTACGGAGGTGGCTACGGAGGTGGCTACGGTGGTAGCTACGGAGGTGGCTACGGTGGTGGCTACGGAGGCTACGGAGGTGGCTATGGAGGCGGCGTAGGCCTGGGAAGCAGTGTTGTCCTTCTCAGCGGTGGAGGCGCTGGCTATGGCAAGGTCGTAGCTGGACCAGCCTTCCTGGTGAAGAGTGTCCACTACGTCAACAAGCTTCATGGTGGTGGGGGCATCTTGGCACACACTGGCTTGGGAGGTGGATTTGGAGGTGGCTATGGAGGTGGATATGGTGGGGGATACGGCGGGGGATACGGCGGTGGATACGGCGGATACGGCGGAGGATACGGCCTTGGATACGGCCTCGGATACGGTGGCGGATACGGAGGAGGCTATGGAAAATATTGAGCTTCGTGAGTCGACGCAATGGTTAGTTACAACATCATAGTATTAAATTGCCGTTGCTCGTTGGTGTGTATAAAATGTAAATGTTTCTTTTACAGCGCGAGATGAAAGATACCACCAAGTCGGCTTTTCACTGCAGGGACGTTCTTCCTGGTCCAATCAAAGAGCAGATAAAAGCGCCTGTACAAATTTTGTAAATAAAGAAACCATGTGGAAATATCTGCGTAAATTATTCTGGGAGTTTATGTTGCAAAGTTGAAAACAACAACAACAACAACAACAACAACATTATTAGGAAATTGTTTTGTTTTCTTCAGGAGAGAATCAAGGGGACAAATGACTGCATAGCCATACATAACGCCACGTCGAGAATGCAGTAAGCAAAGGATGACACATACACTAAGGTCTCAAACACAGATGAACTTTATTTTATGTGAAAAGAGCCGAAAAAAAGTGCCACAAAGAGAGAAACACCAAAGACAAAAGAAGGAAGGCAATCACCCCTTTTCCACAACAGTACTATACTTGGTTCCAGTTTAGGTCCGAGCGTGGCCGTTGTTATGAGCTGAAGGTCCAATCAAACAGCGCAAAAAACGCAACGTCATGGCATTCTTCGCTCTTGATAGGACGAGCCGGCAGAAAAGCACGCACAGAAAGACGGCGAACACCGCTGGTCCCATCGACTGCGGAGAGCACGCCATGACGATGTGACTTTTTCGCCGTATAGATTGGCCCTTCGGCTCCTAACGTCGGCCACGCTTGGACCTAAGGTGAAACAAAGTATACTACAACTGCAGGGCCTCTAAACTCGTCAAACACAAAGTTGGGGCCGAAGTTAACGGAGCGCACCGACTGGCCTATCACGGCGATGACTTCGCGCTTTTTTCGCCGATGTCCAATCGGCGCGCTCCGCGAACTTTCGGCTCCAACTTTGTGTTTCACGAGTTTAGGTCCCCAGAAATTCACTTCGAACACAAACGATAAGAAACCATCCTCCCTCCCCTAACCCGAACTGGAACCACACGGATCAGAATAATAATGAGGGGGGAGGAAGGCTGGTTAGGGACAAACACATAGGCCGGCTTGCTAGAACAGCGTGTCAGCTAAGACTGCAGGTGAAAGAAAGCATGCACTTCAAAGGCTGGGGTGCGCGAGCGTCCTGAGTCGTGGTTTGAGCCCTGCTCAGCTCGTGCGCTGGCTTTGGCAGTGCTTTCTTTCCCCCAGTATCAGCTGAGACGCTGTTTCTAGCAAGCCGGCATAGGAACAGAGCAAAGACTACGAACAAACAAGGACGATAACCGTTCAGACTTCAATAAACCTTCATAATTCCGGGTTCAAGTTAAAAATAGGCCTGTTGACAACACGATTTTGTATCGCAATCGACTCTTTGATCATACGTTTGTGATCGTCTGTCTCTATAAACACATCTGAGGTTGAACCGCACAGTGGTGCACAGTTGTAGCAATTATTTATATGTTTGGAAACTTCTGAATAGGCTTTTATACGACGTTTATGCTCAGCCAAGCGATCACTGATACAGCGTTTAGCCTATTTGACATATGGCATATGGCACAGCAAACAAAACAAAACGAAATTGTAAACAACACCTTACACATATTTCACATCTTTCTTCTTCATATTCTTCACGCACCCAGTACCGGCCTTCTCAAAGGAAGTAAACGATTTAGCTTATAATCCGTGCTGAAAGTAGTACTGCATAGTCCCAAGAACACTATTACTGAACCAGGTAAAAAAAAGTAAAAACACGACACACAATATAAAACCATTCTCTAGGAATGAATAGTGCTTTCTGTACAATACCCTACTTAAAGGTGACCAGCAGTCTTTTATTTGGCTGGCTTGAGCGGGCGACTTTGAATCGTATGGTATTTAGACTGCGGGAAGAGCGCGATGCAGAAACCACTATTCAAGGCAGCGCTCTCGCGCAGGAGATCGGGCAGGCGGCACACACAAAGGAAAATGCCTTACCCGGTTCTTAATGTATAAGCACTGTGTAGGCAAGTTACTGTGAATGGAAGAAAGTAGAGAGTTTTGATGTTATAACTATGCCATGCAATTTCTTGCCTTACTGGTAAATCTCATCCCCGCGCATTTGAGAAAGGAAAAAGGAGGGAAACAATCAAATGCTGTTCTGTTTCAGATGAAAATTTTATTTAATGTGAACGCCCTGAAGATCATTAAAAATGGTCTGACATTCATAAAACAGAATGAAAACAAGCGGCTACTATCTCAGCGGCCTCATGGTGAGAAACGTGGTTACTAGCGATAGTAATTATAATTCGACGATTCTCTTCTTTTTTAGTAATTTTTTTTCTTTCTCCTGTCAAGCGAATGCGTGTAATAGAATGTAAGAATATCGTGTCCGTGCCCGGACGACGTAGCGTTGGCACAGTTGCGAGCATCAAACATTGTAATATGCACAGATACGGGGAGAAAGTGTTTCAAAATGCGTCTTTGGCGCATCGGAACGACAGGAGGAGCATGCCAATCAGAGGGCAACCTAGGGAACGCGTAGGAACCCTGCGATGACGTGGCAGCCAAGCTCGCTCCGTCATTGGTTCAGGTCGGGGGGAACCATAAGCACGTGGCGCGTTTGGGGGGTAAACAAAGGCACGAGGTGGGCTAAGAGCAGACGGACTTTCAGGCCGTATAAAACACATGTCAGCGCGATGATAATCCGGTGATACTCGAAAAGCTGTCATCTCTTTACTGTGTATTAATTTCATCGGTATCAAGCGAAAGCCTGTGACCCAGCAGACGCGGAAGCTGGCACCACTTCCGCTTTCTAGACTGAGAGTTCACACAAGCCATTTTAGTGAACATGTGGTGTCCGTAACACTTCATTTATACTAAGTTATCGAGCATATTGGGGTGCAACGATATTCGTTTATAATGTTTTTTTTTTCACTTTAAACGAGCTTACCGGCATTAATGGGACCCAAGTACACCCGCACGCAACGCCATTGAACAAGAAACCTTTTTGCCGCGGCGTAATATCAAAGTTAAATGTGTATTGAGACAACCATCGAGGAATACAATCATCTGGGGATGGGGGGGGGGGGGGGGGGGGGGGAGCGATACAAGCGGCATTGACATGCCTGACAAAGCGGCACTGGCTCCTCAAGAATAAAAGCGAGCGTTTTATTTCAAACTCTCCTTCGCAAAACTTGATGACGTGTTTTGGAGGTCACAGTGCTTCTCAATGAATATGTATAGTCCCCCAGTGACGATATTTTAATGTGGCTCATCTACTGGACCCGAGCATTGCGTGAGCACTTGATTTGGGCTCGCGATAATCAGGAGCTCTACAAGCATTCGGGTAGTGGCTCGTGCCCAATCGCTTCAATGACGACAATAACCGAACCCTAACAATGTCTGGAACTCAGCGCATGTCCTGTGCTTTGCTATGCTAAACATCGGCGGAACATAATCGGCTCTAGATCACGTGGGTGCTTGTTCTGGCTATGATAAAAAAAAAAAAAAAAAACGCTGCTCTTTTTTTTTTGTTTTGCGACTTTTATTGCAGAATACGAAAAACTAACGCGTATTTCATGGGTTATTAACGTTGAGGATTCATGCTAAGTGTTATTTACGCAAAGAACAAAAATCGTTGCACTACACTTTTCCAACGAGCTGCTCTTTTCGGTAGGGCCCTTTATTGAACGCAATAGACGATGGATGGATGGATGGATGAATACGGCTGAGCCCTTTGGATCGGGCGGTAGCTTACGCCACCTAGCCATTTTGTTTTACCATTTAAGCTTAGAATATTTAAATGTGAAATCTATATTCACTCCGCAGTGCAAAGAAAGTGAGGCTATGAAACCCCCTTGCCATCAGTGAATAAGAAAATACCTAGTTTTCTCTCGATTTCTGCCACCATTCACTTATTCTTTGCTTGGTAATCTCTACAGTCTTGAAATCCACTCTCCCTTCGCTGTCTCTAAAACCCAATGACTTTATTAAATCTATGTTGTCTTCGGTAGGCATAGGGTGAAGCCCTTTACAGTAGAGTATCAAGTGCTCAGCCGTCTCGTCCTCCTCTCCGCAAGCAGTGCACACTGTATCAATTTCCTGGTACTTCAATCTGTATGTCCTGGTTCGCAGAACACCCGTTCTTGCCTCAAACAGCAATGAGCTTCCCCTAGAATTGTCATAAATGCTTTCTTTGGCAATAACTCTTTTGTTTAATCTATAGCTTTCCAGAGCCGTCTTTGTCTGCATTCCCTCTAGCCACCGATCTCTTTCTGTGGCCTTAACTTTCTTCTTAACTGAGACTTGCTCTTCCGTATCTTCGCTATAGCCCAAAAACTTTCCTCTTAATTTCCTAGTGCACTGTCTCCACTTTGTGTCTACACTCCTCATGTATAAATAGCTGAAAACCTTTCGTGCCCATTGCTCCCCGTCTATTTGCCTCAACCTATCCTCAAACTCTACCTTGCTCACCGCTTCCCTGCTCTCAAATGATGCCCATCCCATGTCTCCTTGTACTCCCTGGTTTGGCGTTTTGCAATGTGCCCCCAAAGCCAGTCTACCTACTCCGCGCTGTTTTATTTCTAGTCTCGCATGCACTTCGGATTTCATGCATAGCACTGCGTTTCCAGAAGTCAAGCCAGGCACCATGACCCCTTTCCAAATCTCTCTCACCACCTCATGCCTGTTGTAATTCCAAAGTGCTCTATTTTTCATTACAGCTGCATTTCTGTTACCCTTACCTATTATATACTTTTCATGGTCTCTGAGATATTCTGCACCATCACATATCCATACTCCTAGATACTTGTATTTACTAGCTCTCTCAACTGTAATATTCTGTATCTTCAGCCTCTCAACTTCATCCTCGTTAAAAATCATGACTGCCGATTTTCCGCTACTGAATTCTAAACCTAATTC